TATTATATATATTATATATATAATTATATATAATATATAATATATATATCCTTACAAAAAAGATATATTATATATATTATATATTATATATAATATAATGTATACTTTTATATAAATTATTTAAAGAGAGATATATTATTTATAACTTTATGCATCTATACGATTTTAACAAAATATGACCTAAACAAATGTTTTTCTATTGCATTGCATTATTTCTTAAAACTATGTATACGCAAGATTTATTTTTACCATGACATGCTCTTTGAAATACTTTTAATGATTTCTTTCTTGAGTTTTGTTTTCTTTCTTTATTATAGTATTATATATAAAATGTTGTTTACCGCGTTGTATTCGTCTTGACGTTGTATGTGATGCTTGATGAACATTATATTGTGTATGGCTTTTTCCAGCTCGAAAGGATATTTCTTTTTCGGGGTTATATCGCTTAAGGACTCGTCTAGATCCGACATAACTGTTGGAAGTCCGTTATATCCTAAACTACCAACTAAAAATCGATTTTGGGCAGTGGTTCTGTACAAACCGTTGCAACCTAAAAAGTCATCAAAGATCATTTTTATACTATCATTTTATCAATGCTTTGTTTATGAGTTTTATTTTTTAAATATAATTTGTAATATTCTGAGTCTACCATCAATTCGTTGTCGGGCGGAATCTGGTGAAGACACTATTGATGACGATCGTGTCGCGGCTGAAACAGCAGCCTCAAATTTGCTCTTTTTTTTAGACTTTCTTTTACCGATTTTATGAGCAGCAAGATCATTGAGTAGATCTTCAGGCACTCGCATCAGAAGCAGTTTCGGTAATCGTCTGATGAAAAACTTTCTCAACCAAGGACTCATCTTGTGAGTGCTCGGTTTACGATAATGTATGTTTAGAATAATTATTGTTATCACGACCGAAAGTCCGACTAGACCCATCGTGAAAAGTAGATACTTGCCAAGTAAAGGCAACGCTAGCGACGTGGACGGTATAATTTCAGATATTAGCAAGAAGAACATAGTCTGTGACAGTAGAATGTTGATGCAGAGCGCGATCTTTTCTCCTGAATCGGCCGGCAGGTAAAACGCCAACACCGACAGATAAGAAATACTGACGCACGGCACTATGAGATTCACCGTGTAGAACAATGTCTTTCGACGCAAAGTTATATTAAAAAATATGTCAGGATACGGCTCGAGACAGCATGGGTAATACTTCTTATGACGTTCCGCGGGTACGTCCATTATATCCCATTCAACACTGAGATAATATTCTCGCAGGTCAATACCCACGTCGACCTTGTCGCTTACATTTTGATTAATGTGTTTTAAGTCAATCTGAAGAATACATTTCAAATATCAAAGATTACATCTCAAAAATATTCGATTACACCACTTACTTGAAAGCCGTCGTACGTCCACGAGCCGAATTTCATGAAACAAATTTGTTGATCAAAAGGAAAGTATCTAACGTCTATTTCGCAGGAAGATTTGAAAATTGCCGGAGGAGTCCAAACGACTCTGCCGGTGTAATGCAGAACAGCCTTGGTCATTGTTGTTACGCCGTATTCTCCGTCCGCACTGAAAATAATGTTTTTCATTTGGAGGGTTGGTATGCTTTATAGCTTTCCATACAATTTATATTACATAATTTCGTCTAATAATGCTTTTATGGTATACGAAATATTATATATGTTTTGTAATCATAAGAGCAAAAAAAAAAAAAAAACATTAGCGTAGCATCACGTACTTGTTATAAAGCACAATATCAGGCAGCCATATATGCTCGCTGGGCACGTAGAGTTCAGTGACACCTCCATATTCCGTCGGATCCCACTGAAACTTGTGATCTTCCCATTCCTGAAATTAATTTGCTTATAATTTTTTTGTCAAAAACGTCAATGATACAAAAGCGAATTCTATGTAGCAACTATAACGTTTATTTGTTTTCATAAAATACTTACGTGCTCCAACCAAACGTTCGTTGTAAGAATTTGATCTTTCAAATTCTGCAAACAACAGGATTTTATCAGAAAAAAAAACTCCGCGCATATATTTTTGCTGTTATAAATTATGTATTATATCTTATATCACGTACAAGATCTATTAACTGCGAGAGACGAAGACCCAGTTTCACAACAACGGTATCGGTGTTGTTAGATACAGGCCGAATTAGACGATTATAATTTGAGAGCAGATCGTCGTAAAGTCTCTTCGCGTCTGGATTGCCGTAGCAAATTCTCACCGAAAGAATCAGCACAATTAAAGCGGATAACATTTTGATGTCGTTTGGTTAAATAGGAATTATCGAAAACATTCTGTATAAAACATCAATTTTTATCCCGTGTTCCTCGACTGGTTTCGATCCGGGCGTTTACGCGGTTTAATCGTCAGTCCATCTTCATTGCTCATCAAATGCAAAACAAAGATAGACTGACGCTTACAGCGCGTGAGCATCCAAAAACCAAACCCAAAGTTTTTTTCTACGTATCAAAGTCTGCCGCGATTATCACGCACTTTTCAATCGGATATGTATACAAACATTTCCGATTGCCGCACCCGTGTGAAACATCTCGTTTACGAAAAAGCACCAAACAAAAATGAGACTCTTTGTGAACACTCGCTGGACCAATGGAGATGATGATATCTCAAAGATCGATATATACTATATTGCGCATGTACTGGCAACGCCGCCGGCTCGATTCCTGCGCGGTGTGAAAGCTCCGCCTTACGCAAACTCGCAGAATTGTGCTATGCACATCGCTTAAAAAAAAAAAAAAAACAAAAAAAAAAAGAAAACGATATCCACACGTCGTGATAACATCGTAATTTCTATCTTACACGTAATTGTTACATAATATTTTGTTTTCTAAATCGATCATTAAGAAGAAGGAATTTGTGAAATCGAATTTAAAAGATAGATTTGATTTGAAATCTTTATTTTTTTGTTAACACTATATGAAACTGCTCCTATAAAATCGGAATGTACGAGAAGAAACATAAATGTTTCCACTTCGTACAAAAAAGTATATCAACAAACAACAAGCTTCATACAGATATGTGATGAAAGAGTTTATAGAGAAATTTATGATATATATATATATGAATCGTCAAAGAGACAATAATTGAAGCATAAAACGTTCTTATAGTTAATTTGATGTAGTCGTAATGTAGTTTGAATATATAAACTACTGTGTTGTAATGTAGTGAACAAACTACTATTGTTAATGCATCCGTGTTAGTCACACACATGCGCGCGCACAACGTTACCAAACATTTTACAAACAATTTTACAATTTTATATATAAGTGTGTATCACAAGTTTCATTGTTACATATTATGAACGTTAATTAATTTTCAAAAAACATTGATGCGCTATTCGCGTATACGATATACATACAAGGAAAATGTTTTTCGTGAATATAAGTACGTTGCAAATCATCACTTATTTGTTACATAAGGAAAATCACAGCAAATTGTTTCATTTCCTTGTATAATTACATTAACAATCTATATTTAATCAGTTCCTAAAACTGCGGAAACTTCTCGATAAGAGGACAGACTTTGAACATCTCTAAAGCAGATCTATTCAAGTCGTTGTTTGAGTCAAAATTTCATCTCATCGGAACAAACGTGTAAGGGAGATAAAAACTGGAATGACACATGTTGATATATTTTGTAATTTGATTAGATCTGTCTAGGAGATGTTATTCAAAATTGCCACTCTTATCTTGATAATTATCAAAACTTTGTGTTATTTGTCGAAAAGATATGCTCGCTGCATTTCTTTGTACGATTATCATAATAAGTAGAAATACATAGATGTTTTTTACGGGTCTAGCGAGATCTCTTACCCCCATTGAGTAATAACTATTCTAGAAGAAACATGCATATGTATATTAAAAAGTTTATTCAAAAAATCATCTAGAAAGATCGTCTGAAAGACATTCAAAAGAAAAATCTGAAATATTTCTCAAAGAGAGATTGTAATAGAGTCATTTTTATTATGTCTTATCACTTCGGAGTAAGAAGACGATCTACAGATCTGTTGTATTGTTCTCCGGAATGTCCGGACCAAATCCATGCAGTCGGAATTGTTGTTGAGCAACTTTGGAGTATACCACATCAATCGGTTTTGTGTCGTCATAAAGAGCCGGGGCTTCGCACAAGATCATGAAGGTTCCGGCTATAGAGGCTATTGAAAATATCCACAGAAAAAGACGGTCGAGAACCATGGCGACAAAGGCCCAATCTTGATCCTCCTAACAATATATAAGAAAAAGGCAAATGTCCATTTTAGCCCTTCTATAGAGCCGTACAGAGATAAAACGCGTGCATATGCGCGTAGATAAGTATTGAAAAAGATATTGTTTATTTAAATAAGCATGCCGTATTAAATTGCTTACCGCGTTATATTCGTCTTGACGCTGTATGTGATGCTTGATGAACATTATATTGTGTATAGCTTTTTCCAGCTCGAAAGGATATTTCTTTTTTGGAGTTACATCGCTCAGTGACTCATCCAAATCGGACATGACAGTTGGAAGACCGTTGTAAACTAATCTGCTAAGAAATCGATTCTGGGCAGTTGTTCTGTACAAACCGTTGCAACCTAAATTGTCGAGAGAGAATTTTTATATTACTTTATCAGTGCTTCACATCCGCGTTGATAACAATTATTTTGTAGAGTGTGAAAATTATACCATCGATTTGTTGATGTCGGGCAGAATCCGGAGAAGACAGTATTGACGACGACGCGGCAGCGATAGCGGCATCGAACTTGCTCTTTTTTTGCGACTTTCTTGTGCTAATTTTATGAGCAGCGAGATCGATTAGGAGATCCTCGGGTACTCGCATCAGAAGTAATTTTGGTAATCGTCTGATGAAAAACTTTCTCAACCAAGGACTCATTTTGTGAGTGCTCGGTTTGCGGTAATGTAAGTTTAGGATAGCTATCGTAGCCACAACCGACAGTCCGACTAGAACCATCGTGAAAAGTAGATACTTGCCAAGTAACGGCAACGCTAACGACGTTGATGGTATAATCTCCGATATCAACAGAAAGAACATAGTTTGAGATAGTAGAATGTTGATGCAAAGCGCGATCTTTTCTCCTGAATCGGCCGGCAGGTAAAACGCCAACACCGACAGATAAGAAATACTGACGCACGGAACTATGAGATTCACCGTGTAGAACAATGTCTTTCGACGCAAAGTTATATTAAAAAATATGTCAGGATACGGCTCGAGACAGCATGGATAATATTTCCTGTGACGTTCCGCGGGTACGTCCATTATATCCCATTCAACACTGAGATAATATTCTCGCAGGTCAATACCCACGTCGACCTTGTCGCTTACATTTTGATTAATGTGCTTCAAGTCGATCTGAAGAATACATTTCACATAAACACACAGCTATCGCATTAAACATTGAATTTATAATTAGTTTTTATCTTTATTCGTATAAAAAAGTTACTTGTTATATATCTCAAAAGAGACACATTAGATTATACATCACTTACTTGAAAACCGTCGTACGTCCATGAGCCGAATTTCATGAAACAAATTTGTTGGTCGAAAGGAAAGTATCTAACGTCTATTTCGCAGGAAGATTTGAAAATTGCCGGAGGAGTCCAAACGACTCTGCCGGTGTAATGCAGAACAGCCTTGGTCATTGTTGTTACGCCGTATTCTCCGTCCGCACTATAAATAACGCTTTTTATTTCAAAGGTTTATATACTTTGTCGCTTTCTAATACAATTGTATCACGTAATTTCTGATCACAAAAATGTTAGGACTCACGTCTAATAAATGCATTTTATGGTACATCACCGAAAAAATTATATTCTTATAAGCAGAAGATTTTATACTTAAAAAATCTTCTTAAAGATTTTAGATGATATTCTTCTGAAATTAAGAATATATTCTTTATTTAAGAATATATTCTTTATTTAAGAATATATTCTTTATTTAAGAAATATAGTCTTTTTCGATAGTGAGATATATATGTTTTTCTATGGAGGCTTTTTATATTCTAATCAGTATATATTCTTATCAATATTACTATTTAGAGGATTTTCCTCTTAAAATAAGAAACTCTTCTTGGCGCCTATTTTAGTATAAAATATACTTAAAGTAAGTGGGATATATTCTCAAAACAAGAATACAATTTTTTTGGTGATAATATGCGCTTATTATACATGTGTTTTATAATTATAAGAGCAAAAACAGATATTAGCGTAGCATCACGTACTTGTTGTAAAGCACGATATCGGGCAGCCATATATGCTCGCTGGGCACGTAGAGTTCAGTGACACCTCCATATTCCGTCGGATCCCACTGAAACTTATGATCCTGCCATTCCTGAAAATTGATTTTGTCGATGATTCCAAAACTAATAAGAACTAAAATCCTATAGCATACAAAATTATTTCATAATTTGTTTTTAATTTTAGTTTGCTTGAACAAAATACTTACGTGCTCCAACCAAACGTTCGTCGTAAGAATCTGATCTTTTAAATTCTGCAAATAAGACTTCTTTCAGAAAAGGAGAGAACTTTACGCGCTTCATCGTTAACTAAAAAATATTTTTTTCTACAAGATCACGTACAAGATCTATCAACTGCGAGAGACGGAGACCCAATTTCACAACGACCGTGTCGGTATTGTTGAACACAGGTCGAATCAGACGATTATAATTTGAGAGTAGATCGTCATAAAGTCTCTTCGCGTCGGGATTGCTGTAGGAGATTTGCACCGAAAGAATCAAGATAATTAAAGCAGGTAACATTTTTATCACCGTGTACTTAAGCGGGCAACATCGAAAGCATCCTGTATGAAACATCGTTATTTAAAGAAATAATTAGTACAGACTATACATAAAAAAATTGAAATCGTGTACTATATAGTTATAGGTAACGCATTGAGTCTTTTATTTAGTTTCTTCTATTTATTACAAAGATTTATTACGATACAACTTTTTATTATTTTCAATTTTGATGGTTTCAAAATTTTTACTCAACTTATTTCTTTTTTTTTTTTTTTATCCACTGGGATTTCAATGTAATTTAACTAGTTCTTATAATATTACGTCGATAGCTTAAGTGAGCTTTGCCGAGAGTTGTTAGTTGTAGAATTATGAACCTGTTGCATCTCAAGTGGCCAATTTCCCATGTTAAGTTTTGCGAAAGAATAGCGTTTCAATTAATGAAAATTTCTCGTATTAAAACATTCGATTTTTGAAATAATAAAATTGTCAGCCTGTCGGGAAGAAAATTTTTAACACGAGGTACATTTCTCGGAAGCTCGATCATTTTCTGCTATTCTGACTTGCTACGTTAATTTATGTATCGCGAACAAAAGAAGTACGATTTTTAAATCCATTTCCAGTTATTCTAATTGTAACTTACTTTTACTGGTGCTCGTCGTTTTTGTTTCGCCGAATAATTCTTTACTACGTTTCGTTTACCAAGTGGATAATTATCGTCATTGAAACCGGAATGTAAGATAAGCACGAAAAGATAGTTAAATCATACTTGCGTTTTTACTTGAGTTTTTTTGGGGGTTCCTCGTTGCTAAATAGCGTTTTTTATCCAGTGCTCTTCGTGTATATCATAATAATTTGCCGCGATTATCACGCACTCCTTTCAATCGAGAATGCGTGGAAACACCTCCGGTCCGGTTTTCGATACTCGCGCGAATCGTTCCGTTTCGCGAAATATATACCGGAAAAACGCCGAACAGAAATGACTTTGTGTACAGCCGCCGGACCACTGGAGATGATGGTATCTTAAAGATGCAGGATCAATACATCATTGCGCATGTACTAGCATGGCCGGCTACGTCCTCTGCGCGATGCGAGAGTTCGGCGTTGCGCAAACTCGCGGTATTCTACTGTGCCACGCCGCGCTTCGCACAGCGGCGGAGAAAGGTGGTACACATGTCAGCCGGGCGACGATCTCGTCGTCCCTTTCGCTGAGAAAGTGTTACGCCCTTTCGGACCGGATCTCTCTTGCAACTCTCTTTTTACATATTCATGTTATTTTCTAATAGAAAATTCACGATGAAACGTCGTTATGTGGCGCAGGAGCGCCACATTTTATTCCTTCAACTTCTTTCGGTTTTTATGAGAGAATAGAAAAAAAAAAAAATAAGTAACTATCTCGTAGTGAGATAATTTCTTCAATATATTTTGCATCCTTTATCAATCTAACGTTGAATAATTAAGCAGCTAAAGTGTGAGATAACAAAAAATACATTTCGGAACTAGATTATCGCGACAGATTAAACTTTGGAAAAAATTTTGTCTCTTTTTTTCGTGTTTTTGAAATTATTTTTCAAAAATACGATTAAATTGTTAATGCACTTGAGACTAATATAAATACTCTAACTCTTTACACAAAAATGTATGTATTTCTATGGAACATAATGAAGTCATTGTGCTTGCCATAGAGTGCATGAAGCTGCAATGCAGCCATTTAACATTTTTCTTTATGGCAGGAGTGAGACATTTAAGTCCGTACATTATAGCGCTTTATTCTTATGCGTAGGGGCCATTCCCCTACACTTATGCTCTGTTTGCCTCACACTACTCCGCTCCATGATAAACGTGACTGTTTTTCCGCGTTTCCTTTCTGGTCTTCGTCTCGCTCTGGCTAGCAAGACTTTCGCGAGAAAACCAGCAATTCTTGTATACAGTTGGCATTAAATTCCTCTAACGCGTAATTGTACGTTGTGCATACGTGCTTCGTATCTCGTAAGTTCAAGGAAGGGAATAACACATAGATATATTTACGATAATAAGTTTTACAAAAAAAAAAAAAAGATTAAATTTACTTGTAATAAAAACATAATGAAATAATTATTGAAAACCAGATAATATCGTAAAAAGAAAATCTATTACATATAATAATAATAAATCCTTTGTTGGGACAATAATGAGATCAATGATAGATTGCTGAGCAGAATATTTACTCAGAGACTCATTATCGCGCTTGAGTTACATAATAATCACGCAAATATAAATCCGTTTTTCTAACCAATCAGAGAGAGAGAGAGAGAGAGAGAGAGAGAGAGAAGCTGCCTATATTTACCCTTCGAAAAGGCACTATTGTACGTCAGTATGTTTCGAACCCGGGAAAGTTATCAGTATCACTTCCATCCTAAACTACGCCATTTACTCGGTCTACTTCCTAATTGCGGGAAAGTTGGTCGAGCATATTTGAAGTTTCCGACGACACAGGGACGATCGGTTTTGTTCTTCCGCGACCGTGTATCGGAAGACAGTTAGTCCGTTCAGCAAACTATTTCCGTAGAGTACGTATAGGATCACATCCTCTCTCTCTTTCTCTCTCTCTCTCTCTCTGTCATTCTTATTCTGTATCACGCCGCAAATTATTAATCAGATCCGATGGCTGGAATCCGACGGCAGACAGAAGCGATCTTTCTTAATCACGAGCGAAAGTTGTACCGGGCGTGTTTGAAATTTCCGGCATCCGGGAACACGAAGATAGAACGGGACGAAATTGCGCAAGCGGATGATGAGATACGCTTCGAGATGGGAGAGTAGTGAAGAAAGTCGGTCGTACAATCTGGACGTAATCGCTGACTAAGAGAGACGTTCGGAGGGAAACGTGCTCCTCAGGACGTGGCGATAATTAATGGTGACTTTATACGCATCGGGCGATCTTTCGCCCCTCGTGTGTGTGACCCGCTGTTTCTGTGGCCCCGTGCTGCTGCCCCGCGCAAAGAAAACTTTCAGGGCCGCCAAGATAAGCCAAAACCTCATTACAGTTTGCTGTTAAATTCCCCCTGTGCCCCCCCTCCCCCTACCCCCGAACAGTAGTCGGTAGTCGCGCGGGATCTCCGCTCTATCTCCATTCCACCGACTGTTCGTATTTGCCGTTCGCACTGTCCGCTCTCTTCAGGGGTCCACCTTTAACCCCAAGATAATAGCCGGAGCGGTGCTAGAGTTTAAATGAGTGTTTGCGCGCTCTCGGTGAATTATGGCAACCCCTTTCGGGACGCCCGCACGTTGCCATATACGTGCACGAGCGGTGTTTAGAAGGTGCAACGTCGTCACGTCTCATGCTCGGCTGATTATTGTGCAGCACGTGTGTTAGAGAGAATGGGTGCACCTTTTCGCACCCTTCTCCGTTTCACATGCACATCGTGTGTACCACGCACGCTGGCCTGTTCCTTTTCTCGCGTAAGAACGTCGAACTCTCGTTGTGGCTCGAGAGTGTAACGTTGTTCTATTTTTTTAATAAAACAAAAAAAATAGCTTGTGATTGTTTTGACGTCGCTTGTATAATTTTTACACGCGGTATTTCTTGCAGCGTATTCTCTTTTCTGAATCAAAATTTCGTCAAAGATTGTTTCTTCTCGAGACCGAGTTTACAAAGGAGGTACTCGAAATATTTATTTTTCAAGATACTACGAAACTGCTCGTATAAAGTCGGAATGCACGGAGGAGAAGAAACGTAAGTGCAGTTGCTCTCGCGTTTTTATTGCGAGCAGTCGCATAGTTTCGGCCAAGGCTTACGCCTTCGCATTGACTATTTAACCGCTGCCGGCGTCGTCAAAAGCAGGCCAACAACCACCGCTATTTTCCAAGACGCTCGCCGCGACTACACCTTCTTCAACTTTATTCTAGCGACACGCCGTGCAGACATCACGAGTATTATGTCTCGCACTATCCGGTATTGCGGGATCCACCTCCCGTTCGAAATGCTTGAAGGAAAGCAGCCACCTCGACACTTTTGTCTTCTTTTAAAATAGTTTATTTTTGGGCCTCCAGGTCGGCATCTTCATAAACGCACACGTGACAGCTAAAAGTTTAATAACTGACGCTATTTAATTTCAGAATAGAATAAAATGAGAAATAATTTTATTTCTAATTATTTTAAATCTAATTATTTTATTTCTAATTCTTTATTTCTATTTTATTTTATTTTATATGTACATTTAACGCGTTACTTTACATACATACGTAAGACCGTCACACGTCGATGCAATTATTAACCGCGCAACAAACAATTATATTTCCTCGAGGACTTCGAGAAAACTTTCTTTTCATTAAGTCCGAGAGAAATGATTTTGCGGTAAACAACCGATGCGTTCTTCTTCCACTGGTATCAAGAGACCAGTCGACCTGTCTGTTCTATCTTTCCGCGTCTTCCCAAGGGTGTCGTCCCGGTCCGTCTGTCGGCGACATCATTCGCCCTAGTTCTGATCTTTCAGCGACATTAAAGCGCGACGTTTCCTCTTGAGAGAGACTGACGCTCGAGGAAACATCATTATAGATGGCGGAACGGGTTTGCAGACAGATTGGGGATGATATCTGCTTGAGAAAATTCGGGAGAAGCGCGAGTGACATCTTCTTAAAATGTCTCCGCGCGAAAGCTGACGAAGTGGAAATACTTTGAGATGATAAACGCGCGCGGCGTGCGCTAGATTTGATAATTAGCTTTTGTAGCTATATTTGTAGTTGTCGAACAATTTTCTCGCGAACCAATAATCTGAAATTCTACTACTGAAGAAAATGACTCTTCTGCATATTATTATTATCATTATTTTAAATATATATAAAATTCCGACAAGAAGTAAAGCAATTATTGTCTTCTTAATTAATAATAAACCGAACATATCTCGCATATAATTTGATGAAATAGGACGAGAAGATTAACTTTGTTAGAAAAATTAAGTTTTTTGATCTTTGCAGTTAAAAAAATATCTTCGATCAATTTTTCTTTTCTGTCACGACGCGATATATCGAGGCGATACATCTTCTTTGTGTTTCGGGACTTTGCGAGATTGACAGAAGTTGTAAAAATTTTAAGAAGACAGACGAGAATCGATTAGCAGACAAAAAAAAAAAAAAAAATAACGAGATGTAAGACAAACCGATAAACGTGGAAAGATATCGGGGGGCAAAACTTCTTTGACTTATGAAGAAGCGAATGGCATGTCATGGATAATTGCATTTCTTTTTTTTTGTTTTTTTTTTCAAGAGAGAACGTTTAATTGCACAACGTTGAATTGTATCTCCGCCATTAGCGCCATTAACGTGATACTCGAACGGAATTGCTAAGGCATGAAAAGCCGAAGAGCAGTGTTATCTTCGCGCGCGAAACACATGAACGGCAGAACGTTATGACGTTGAGTCGCCCGATGCGGTCGGTGATTTATTTTCGACGTAGCTCGATGAGGAAACAGCCCCATTCAGCGAAGCCCGATGAGGAAACTCGATAACGCTTATGGCACCATGATCCCGTGTCGCCATACCGAAACCGCGATAGCCATTATATAGCGAATCTATATTTCATAATCAATGTAATGCTCATTCGCATTTCAAATTACAGTCAGTTAACACAACTATTGTGTTTTAATTGTGAAGTCTTATTGTTATGAAACAAAATTGCAGTGTATAGAATTTTTATTGAATTCTCACAACTGACGGCGTCGCTCGTCGAGTCAATATTTTTATTGTATAAAAAAAATTATTGATTCCTTTCTTCATTCTTGTACACCGAAAAAATTATATTCTCGTAAGTAGAAGATTTTTTATACTTAAAAAATCTTCTTAAATATTTTAGATGATATTTTTCTGAAATTAAGAATATATTCTTTATTTAAGAATATAGTCTTTTTCGATAGTGAGATATATATGTTTTTCTATAGAGGCTTTTTATATTCTAATCAGTATATATTCTTATCGATATTACTATTAGAGGATTTTCCTCTTAAAATAAGAAACTCTTCTTGGCGCCTATTTTAGTATAAAATATA